CAAAACTTTCAGTTTCACTTATTCTTTACTAACACCAAACTTTTGATCCACATCACCAGTCCTATTCAAATTCCTTAACAACCACTTTAAGGCTTCCCAATGTTCTGAAATCAGATTAGACATGTACCTATTGAGAGTACTAATAGCAAAAGTTAAATTTGGTTTACACATCAAATAAATAATAGATCCAATCAAATTAGAATATGGAATCCTACTCGTGTTCTACTTCCTTTTCATTACATGTAGCCCATTCTTTATATAATATAGAATGATTATCCAAAGGTAATGTAACAGGTTTACAGTCATGCATGCCAAATCTTTTCAACACCGCTGAAACATAAGTAGACTGATACAAAAACAATGCAGAATTTGATCTATCTCTTTAAATTTCCACATCTTGAATTCTCTTAACTTTACCTAGTTCTTTTATATCAAATTCACCATTCAAATTTATTCTTATCTTACTTATGCACTTAGATGATGAATCAATTAAGTTCATATCATCCACGTAGAGCAATAAAAATTTATAATCATTATTAGCATTAGCATGTTGAAATCCTATAGTGAGTACATTGGAATCAAATCTTTTATGTCATTGTCTAGGTGAATGCCTTAAGCCATATAAAGATCTTTTAAGGAAACACAAATGATCAGGTTTTACTTTATCTTTAAATCTCTTGTTGATTTATAAAGATTTGCTCATCAAGTTCACCATGTAAAAATGTAGTTTTTACATTAAGTTGTTCAAGTTTTCAGTCAAAATGTGCAACCAATGCAAGCAAGATCCTAATAGTGCTATTCTTAACAATTGCTGAAAAAATCTCGTTATAATAATTTTTCTTCTTCTATGTGTATCCCTTAGCCACTAACCTAACTTTAAACTTTAAGCGTTCAGATGCACTAGAACCCGCCTTAACATAAAAAACTCACTTACGTTCAACTCTTCAGATTGTTTACTCTTTATCAACCTCTCGAAGATTTTTGGCTCTTTATCAGCTAGCTACTCATAACTAGCGTAAGCAAAAGCTGACTCGAATGCATATTCAAATCTTTTAGGCTCTTTCGTTTGTCTTCTCTTACTATACCTAGCTAAATTATACTTTACCAAGAAATTCTCTTCCTCAGGATGTCTTCTATCACTAGTTCCTCTCTATACTTCACCTTTGGTTGTTGAAATTAAGTCTCCACCTCATTAGGAGTAGCGTACGGATAGATGTACTAAGTTTTCCTAGCTTTATCTTCAAATAATCTCTTTCTTCACCTTTCTATTTTTCACTCATAGGTTTGGATTTAGTCTTAAGATATGGATTCAATCTTAAGATAAGGCAATTCAACCTCGTTAAATGTGACATCTCTACTCACAATGATCTTAACCCTCTTTTGGTTTCTATCCTATAATCTGTACTTGATACCCTCAGGGTAACCAAGAAAAACACATTTTTTAGCTCTAGGTTCAAGCTTTCCCTCACTCTAATGAGAAAATGCAGTACAGCCAAAAGTTTTAAGCACAGGGTAATCCTAAACTTATCCAACCATTTTTCATAGGGAGTGTCACCATTCAATACAACAGATGGAGTCAAAGTAATCAAATAATAGTTATAACAGCTTTACCCTAAAATGCTTTTAGGATACCATAACATAACCTCGTGAATCACATTTTATCAAGTATAGTTCTATTCATCCTTTCCGTTATCACATTTTGTTAGGGTGTGTAAGGAACAGTCTTATTCCTTATTATTCCATTCACTTTGCACATATTATCAAATTCAGTGTCACAAAACTCTGGGCCATTATTAGTTTTCAAGAACTTAATCCTTCCGCCAGTTTGATTCTGAACTTGTCTTTTCCAATTATTAAAATTGTGGAAAGTATCAGACTTATCTTTTAAAAGATAACACACCTTTCTAAGATAATCATCAATAATGGACAAGAAGTACCTATTTCCATCCGAGGTGAGATTACTAGCAGGGCCCTGAAAGTTTGAATGCACGTTTTCTAGCACACCTGTAGTTTTGTAAACACTTGTGGAGAAAAGAAGTCTTGTGATGCTTACCAAGCACACATTGGTTGTAGAATGATAAAACCGATAGATAATCATTACCAAATACATATTTTCATTAAGAAGAATAAGCCCTTAATATCCACATGCACAAGTCTATTCATTTATGTGTGTGATCAGTCTTGGTAGAAGAGATGGAAGAATCTAAACCTCTTATCACTTTTCCATTGGTGATGTAAATATCACTTTTTTCTAGATTCCTTGATGGAAACAAGTGCACCCTAATCATTTTCAAAACTCCATTTCCAATTTTATCAGCGAAGTCAGCTTTCTCAAGTTTCCATACTAAAATTAAATTCTTAGACAATTCAGGAATGTATTTAACATCTTTTAAAGTACACACAAAACCAGTGTCAAATTTTAAAATAATATCTCCAATCCCAGTAGCAATATGAGCCAAATTGTCACACAGCATAGCATGTCCGTTATTAGATTCATGCAAGTTTTTAAGCCGGTCCTTTTTAGATGTCACACGAAAAAATACACCAAAATGAAGTATCCACTCATGTAAACTAGAATCAGCAGTTAGATTCAATTTAACAATCGGACTTGTAATCACAGAAACTTCGCCATCATTAACATTGGGAGCAAAAGATAAAATATTTACTTCATCCCTCTCTTTAACATTTTACTTACCATTTTCTTTATAACAATCTTTTAGAAAATGCATTGTGTTCCCATAGCTATAACATTTCTTAACTTTGGTCCTAGATTTTGATCTAGACCTACCATTACCTTTCTTTTTACCTCTAATACTATTTGACTCTCCACTACTTTGGTATCCATCATGACCGTTTTGCCTAAACTTAGTTCTACCTCTCATCGCATTGCTTGTAATGTTTTTCAACTTCAATTTTCATCTCTTGACTTCTAAGAGAATCAACGACAATTTCAAGTGCCAAGGTGTCCCTATTGTATTTAGTCGCATTTTTAACTTCCTTATAAGTGTTAGATATGGAATTAAGTAAACTTATAGTTTTGTAGGTTTCAGACACTGTCTCTTCATAGTTAACAATATCATGAACAGGTTTGTCAAACACGTCTAAATTATCGTCTAGTTCCTTTGAAGGATCGATTTAAAATTGTAAAAAGTTCAAGTAAGTAAAGCTTTTTCAGAGTAGATTTGAGCAAATACAAGTCCTCCAATTTTCTTTTTAAAGTTTTTTGATGGTTTTAAGTTTACCAAATTTTCTCGAAACAACATAAGATAAATATAAAAGAAGTGAAGTATAAGTAAACTCATAGCTTAATCAGTAGAAAAATCTCATTCAATGACTTTAGGAACTCTTTGTTGGACCAAAATATCTTTTATCATTTGTTACCATATTGAAAAATTACCTTTTCCGTTAAAAATTCTTAAATTAAAATTACAAGTTATCATTTTTACGAACCATTAAAAATGCACAGCGTCACAATTAAACCATACAAAGTAGTCCTAAGATCATAGATAGTACACTCCGTTCTAGATTCCAAGGGTTAAATGATATTCGCGATCTCAATATGAACGAAATGTTCAAATGGGTAAGGTTTATGTATGCTGGCGAAATTAACGATGCAAATAGGTATACTAGTCAAACAGTTTCAGTCACGGTAAACCACAAAGATAATAAGATAATTTTATCAAACAGAAACTTCGATCATGTAACAGTTAAAAGCAAGTAATTCCTAAATTTTAGTACAAGCAATGGTTATACAACACGGCAACCACAATCTGATTGTCACCCCATACGATGATGCACTATTGCTAAAATTTAAATGAAATAAGCCAATTACCAAAGAGGACAACGTCGAAGGCACGTAAATATCAAGAGATGTGAATTTGATGCTTTAGGACCATCACTACTCGAGGGAAACACCATCTAGGTCCACCACTATTCGAAGATAAAACTATCTAGATCAATTGATAAACATAGGCCGAACATCTAGGGGCAAAACTGTCTAGATCCACTGTATAACCTAAAACAGGAAAATAATAGTAGCAAAACGTTCAGAATGACAACCAAACAACCTGTTTGAACAACTTTTCTCCGGTAGATGCGAGATGCGCCATCGTAGGAGAGCCCACTCATAGCCACCTTCGGTCATCATCCTCTTCAAATGCTACAAACCCAGTGGCTCCTCCGCCTGCACAATATAGTTCTGACCTCTATTTCACCAAACCCCTTTGGTTTGGCCGAAAAAGGGGATTGCAGGTTCGACACTTTTGGGATTTTTTGATCCAGTTGATTTTTGTTCTAATTTTTTTCCTGAAATCACCCAAATCACCCTATAGTCTCGAAACATGACAAGCGTCAATGATAGATGCTGACTAAACGCCAAAACCACCACCAAAGCTGACTATGGGTTACCATTAAATATGCGCCAAATAAGATGCTTATAAAAATAATGCAGTGGGTCCAAAATAATAACTTCATGCTTTATCAAAATTGATCATATATATATATATATATATATATATAAAAATAATAACTTCATGCTTTATCAAAATTGATCATATATATATATATATATCACTTTAAAATCATCAAGCTCTTCGAGCTATAAAGGACCAATAGCTACCTGTAGGAAAATTTGTGGGAAAATATATGAGTGATAGCTCAACAAGTAGAAAAGTTTGAAAATAATTATACTTTCTCATTTTTACATTTTTGTAGAAAATTGAGTTCATATCATTCAATAATTCACAAAATAACATAATACAATTATAACCAAGAAGCGAGACATCCTTATAATGCTAAAAAAATATCATCTTATATTCATGATATATTCATTGGCTGATATATGTACTATAATCTCATCACATCAACTCTACTGAAAATTCCACCAAGAATGTACCATCTGATTGAAATCTGCATTTCGTCCCTCAGGCCAAGCACTTTTGTCGTGGTCCTTTGCCCCCTTCGTGAACGAAAATGAGTCTCAAAATCTTTGATAATCAATTCTAAAATACAGCCAAGATCCCTCTGTGAACTGTATGTCCACGGTCAAGACCAATATCCGATAAAGGCCCCTCCTTGTATGATAGAACAAGACCAAGGCAACTCTGTAAACTAGAAGAAGTATATAATCAAGGATATTTTTCTGGTCGATTTCAATACCACATATCTTACATTTCAATTCATAAGTAATCCATATCCGACCTTTGAATTCCATATATATCATAGTGAAAGAACCTTCCATATTAATCATGTAATTGACCAAATAATTCACATAATCTCACGTAATATAATAGTATAAGCACTTTATCAATATTTGAAAATATGTAAGTTTTTCCACTTATATATCTATGCATACAAATCTGGCTAAATTGAAGAAACTTCCCAAACTTTCACGTTACTGCCTGAAATAATGATATAATTACTCAAATGTAAACTCACCAAGTAATTCATCCAATTCTATATTTATTCTTGCATATCCACTTCTCTCATTTTTCTTCTCTTTTATTAATAATCAACTAATCACCACGTATGATCAAATTCATTAATCACTCATACTTCCTTAAAGTAGCTACCTTATAAAACCACTATACATAATTCAATCCAATAGCTAGACCTTAATACTTTCCCTTTAGTTTCATCCAAACCTTTTAAATCAGAGAAAACAAAGGTTTGACAAAAAACAACAATAAAATTCCAAGGTATTGAAGTCTGGGATCTATTTCTGTATGTTGAAAATTGTCATGAAACTATTCACAAAACTAGCAGTTTCTTAGCAGAATTTCAACAGTAGCACTAGTACATAAAATTTGCATGAAAATCAGTTAA